CTGTGTTAAAGTATGTCCAAAAGTTCCTAGAGTTTGGCTGGTATTCCTCTGAGAGCATAATGAATGAAGACATAAAGGCAAGGAAGTTCGAGCGGGGCATCCATCCTGAGATTATACAGCACCGATATGTGTTCGAGCTCAGTACCTATTCAACTGTTCTGAACAAGGCATATCTAGTAGAGAGGAACTTTCGCATTTTTCCTCCAGCAGTGGGGAACCTCAGGCCCCCGGTTTCACACCACATACCAGCACTCACAGCACCTGCCTAGCAAAACAAGAGACCTAGGCTAGTGACTCAAGCTCATTTTCAGATTCCAGCAACAGGACGCGGTAGGACTTGTCAGCACTGTGGTAAGGATCATGGGTACCGACCATGCTATCACCTCAACAATACTTGTCGTATATATGGGAGTGCTCAGCATTACGCAAGAGAGTGCCCGAGAAATCATAACTAGGTCAAACCTCCTATCTATGGCAGAGCTTACAACCTCACTCAACAAGATGCAAAAGCCAACTCAAACCTGACACAGGGCAAAACTTAAGAAAGAAATTAAGAAATTTATATTCGAAAGATTTCGATAGTCTGAGATTTTCCGGATGTGTTTCCTAATGAACTATCCAGATTGCTAGTGGACAGAGAACTTGAATTCACCATAGATATTCATTTAGGTACCCAGTCTATCTCGGTTGCCTCTTACCATATGAGTCATGTTGAGATGGAATAGCTAAGAAAACATATCAATGAATTACAGGATAGTGAGTTCATCCGACATAATATATCCCATTGAGGTGCTGGAATTACACTTGTAAGAAAAAGATATGGAATATTAAGATTATGCATTAACTACAGGGGACTGAACAAGGTAACGATCAAGAACAAATACCCCCTCCCCAGGATTGATGACCTTTTTGATCAGTTGCAGGGTGACTAGGTCTTCTCCAAAATATACCTGCATTCAGGTTACCATCAGGTAAAGATCAAGGCAAAAAACATTCCTAAAATAGCTTTTCGAACCAGGTACGGACACTATGAGTTCCTAGTCATGTCATTTGAATTAACCAACACACCAGCTATCTTCATAGATTTGATGAACATGGTTTTCAGATAATTCTTAGATCAGTTCGTCAATGTATTTATCGATAATATCCTGATCTACTCAAAAAGTATAGAGGAACATGTTCACTATCTGGCTCAGATTTTGCAGGTTCTCAAAGAAAAGAAGTTGTATGCAAAGTTAAGTAAGTGTGGGTTCTGCCTCGAGTAAACTACCTTCTTAGAGCACATCATCTCAAGGAACAAAGTGTCAGTGAACCTCAAAAAGATTGAAACAGTACTTGGTTGGGAGAAATTGACATCGGTCAAGGAGATTCATAGCTTTATGGGGATGACAGGTTTTTACCACAAGTTTGTGGAATGATTTTCTAATCTAACTGTTCCTTTAACCCAGCTTACAAAGAAGAACGTTAAGCTTGAGTGGAACGAGATTTGTGAAATGAGCTTTTTAGAAATAAATAAGCGGTTGATTACTGCACCTGTGTTGACCTTGTCGAGTGGAATAAGTGGATACACAGTTTATAGTGATACCTCCTACCTGGGGCTGAGCTGTATTCTGATGCAGCATGGGAAGTTTATAGCCTACGAGTTCAGACAGTTGAAGAGTCATGAAAAAAACTACCATACCCATGACTTAGAACTTGTCGCGATTATCTACACTTTGAAAACTTGGTACCACTACTTATACCGACCATAAGAGCTTGAAACACATTCACTCAAAATAATTTCAACATGCGTTAGAGACGATAGATAGAACTCCTCGAGGACTACGATTGTAACATTTTGTATCATCTAAGTAAGGGCAACGTGGTAGCTGACGCATTCAGTAGAAAAAATACAAGTATATTAGCTCATATAATGGTTTCAAAATGTAAGGTAATATGGGCCGCACAACATGTATGACTTCAGGAGCTGAAGAGAGTTACATGCTTGGCTCACCTGACTATTCAACCTGAGTTGATTCAGATAATAAATGAAACTCAATTTGCTGATTCTACCCAAGTAGCCCTCAGAAAAGATGCAGAACATTGAGTAAATTCAGAATTTTGAGTCTCTGCCGATGGGTTGCTCATATTTCATGACATAATGTATGTTCCATATGACAGTGAGCTGAAAATAGATATCATGACAGAGGCTCATAGTTCAAAGTTTATCATGCATCCCAGAAGCCCTAAAATGTATCAAAGTATGCAATCCTGGTTTTGGTGGAACAGGATGAAAAGAGAGGTGGAAGACTTTGTTTTTAAGTATTTAGTGTGTTAGTATATCAAGGTAGAACATCAACACCCAGGTGGGCTATTTCAGCCATCACCGATTCCAAAGTAAAAGTGGAAACACATCACAATGGATTTCGTGACAAGATTGCCTAGAGCATGCTTGAGACATGATGTCATTTGGGTAATTGTTGACTGGTTCACCAAGTCCTCTCACTTATTGGCCATCAAGATGACCGATCCCTTGGATAAAGTAGCAAGAATATATATCCGATAGATAGTCAAGTTACATAAAATGACAGTGATAGTAGTATCCGACAGGGACTACAGGTTCATTTTTCGCTTCTAGTCTAGTTTTCAGCAAGCTATGGGAACAAAACTATCTTTTAGTACCGTATTCCACTCCCAAACTGATAAACAATTAGAAATGACAATTCGTACACTAAAGGATATGCTCTGAGCTTATGTTCTTGACTTCGGAGGCCATTGAGATGATCATTTACCATTAATAGAGCTCGCCTACAATAATAGCTACCAAGTAAGTATCGGCATGGCTCCGTACAATGTGTTATATTGCCACCCATGTAGATCACCGATCTGTTGAGAATAAGTGGATGGTAGAAAATTGTTCAGTGTAGATCTTATAGATGAGACTACAGCCAAAATAGTTAAGATCAGGAAGAACATCTAGATGGCTCAGAACAGTCATAAAAGCTATGTAGACACCCAAATGAGAGATTTGAAATTTGAGAAAGGTGATCAAGTATTCCTTAATATCAGTCATTTCAAGAGAATCAGTAGGTTTGGTAAGAGGGAAAAACTGAATTCTCAGTTTATTGGGTCATTTGAAATCTTATACAGAATTAGTACCACCGCCTATAGACTGATACTACCTCCAAAATTATCCAGAGTCCATAATGTATTTCATGTGTCAATGTTACGCAAGTATAACTCGGACTCCTCTCATATCTTGGCCCATGAGCCCCTTTCACTTAACGAGGATTTGTCCTATGAGGAAGTATTGGTAGATATTGTGGATCAAAAGAGCAGAATTACTCTACAACTGAAAAATTCCCTTCGTTAAGGTCCTATGGTAGAAATACAGACAGATAGAGGCCACAAGAGACCTAGAATCAAACTTTAGAGCCTAGTATCCCT